TCAGCCAGCTAGTTTACGCACAACAACATGGATTAAGACAATAGTCAGTGGCTTTTTGAATTGATGACATATTTTGGTCTGGTTATCATTAATTTTCTTCTAACCTACTCCTAAGACAAGCAACCAGAGTTTTCAGGGGTTTAGCATGTTTAATATATATTACTAATCTTATTATTTCAAGAACCACTAACTTATCAAGCGATTTGGTCATTTCATAAATCCAATGTGCACTAGCAATAATTCACTACCGGATGATTATCCAAAGTTTTATCAGATCCTCGCTTTATTTTTGTCTTCTATGGACCTTCTGACTTTTTCGTAGATGCAGATATGATAGATGTGGTATATCATAGTATGATCGGTTGAGACCTATGTAAAGTTTTGGAGGAATATAGAACCAGATGTAATAATGTTGTCGAAGGTGTTTACATTAACTATTTTTCTTCCTGTTCCATATCAACCTGGGTTGAATTAGTGACCTGTGTTAATCCACCTCAACTTTATTGCTTAGGCCACTCACCAAGATGATCAGGCAGTTTTCCATCATCGACTGCAGCCTCCTGTAAAATTGATATTTATCATCTTGACTGCTACCATTGCTAAGTGCGTAGTACTGGGTGACATTCATTATAATCTCTTATTTAGATGTTGTAGAGGGTGCTTTGATAATGATAATGAAGTTTTGGATTCCAATCCTATGAGTGACTTTTGCACATTATTATGTTTCAGATATTATTTTCCTTCTTGATAAGAAGATTGAGTTGTCGACGAAGTCATATATGGTGAAAATGATATGAAATCATTTATCATATTATGAATAGTTTCTAGTAAAATATATTAGGAATAATTAAAACTATTTCAATTATTCAGATTTAAATTATGTTATCAAGAATAATGTATTATTCATATATTATTATTATTATGATTTTAGGATAAAATTATAGTCTGAAATGTATCAAATCAACTTTCTCATTATTCAATAGAATAAACAAGAAAAAAGATACTTTTTAAATGAGTTAATACAAGAGGATAAAGAAAAACGAAAAAAGAGAAACGATTCATTTTAACTATTCAATAAAGAATGTGTATTTCACTTATGAAATTGTTTCTATCTTCTTATAGAGATAACATAATAAAGTTGTTTTTTCTTTTCTACGAAATTTATTTTATTCATCAAATGTTCTTTTTCATTAGTTTGTTTGGTCAATCAAAGAAAAAAAAAGGAGGAATCATTTTAAAGAATTTGTAACATTCTACTGAATTCAAATGAATAATATTGTTCTTCTATTTGGATTGTTTTATTACTCTCAGTTGATGATTTCCCAACATAATAATAATAATAATAATAATAATAATAATAATAATAATAATAATAATAATAATAATAATAATAGTTCGACACTATTTCACGTTTCAATCTTTTATTTCCAATTTTCTTTTAATTGACCGATTTTCAGAGTGAATAAATGTTATTTGTTACTGTGTAGTAAATAATTAGCTCTTGAGTATTTAGAGTTAAATTTTTCTTTGGTTTTTGATTATTCATAATCATTAAAATCATTCCTATGGAATACTTAGTGATAATAATAATACATCAGGCGTCAACATTCAAAAAGGAAAAAAAAACAAGATCCTGAAATGTAACATAAAGTACACTAATTTAATCACACTTGATGAAGAATCTCAGAAAGGTGGAAAGATTCACGTATTTGGACAGCATGACTGATAGATAAGGAGGATCGTGTTGTAAATGTAAAAGCAAGGATTTGCTAAGCAAGGACAGCATTCCTACAAGTGAAGAACATATAGAACTCAAAACAACTGTCGATTAGCTCCAAAGTCAGAATCTTCATTACTAACGTCAAGATAGTTTTATTGTTTGAGGCTGAAACTTGGAGAACTACTACAAAAACATCATCAAAAGAGTACAATTATTTATAAACAAACATCTGTGTAAGATTTCTAATTTTTGTTGTTTGGATACCATCGGCAGCAGTCTAATGTGTGAGAGAACAAACCAATTTCCGGCTGAAGAGGAAATTAAGAAAAGACGATGGAAGTTGACAGGATATACATTGCGGAAATCATCAAACGACATTCAGAAGCAATTTTTAACTTTGAATAGGAAGCAGACATCAGAAGGATGAATAGCAATTGGAAACAACTGGAAAGGAAAGCCCAGAACAGAGTTGGTTATAGAATCTTATTCGGTGGCCTATAATTCACGAGTGATGACAAGTAACTAAGTTTAATCTATTTAAACAACCATGTACTGTGTCGAATGTAGGAATTTCACTGAACAAATACAAATTCTGACTTAGCATTCACCCATTTATAAAACAATTTCAAATAGATTTCTTGACTGATTTATAACTTCACTTCTTTTAGAAATAGTTTACATTGGATCAAATCATTTTTTATTGACTGACAAGGTGTTCCTAATGTCATATGTTGGGCTTGAATAACGTATTTGATAAACAGACACATTTACAATGTGTTTTGAATTATGAATAACTGTATCTCTAGCATGTACCAGTACAGAGTAAATTATTCATATTATTGATTTTCATCACTCCGTTGGATGTGCTTAATTGTAATTACATCTAAGCATCAAATCTTATGAGAGGAAGTAGTGACAATTGTGAAGTGGTTTTAGTGAATTCCTCCCTCGAAACAGAAGGAAAATAATTTCCGAACAATACAAATATTTATTTTCTGATGTGGAAATTTACCTTGCGTTGCACCAAACAAACTTAAATCAACACCCCAAAATGAGTGCGAATTACTGATGGACTAAAAATTGTTTTTGTTATGATTAATCACAAAATCTCACTTTATATTAATACTAACGGGACTTTTCAGGCACTGTTGTATATGATAGTTTATACTATGAACTAACTTTTAGGTAGACAGCCAATGAAACATTGAAAAAATATTTTGGTTTTGTATGAGACCACTCCAAAGTGCACACTCACCACTGAGCGTTCATTATGAGAACTGAAGGTCCTAGGTTCGATCCCTAGTGTAATAGTGGAAGTCCACTGTTGAGAACTCATACTGATACAATAATATACACACGCGTTTCTTGTGCCCTGTTGAGGCTTGTGTGATTGACCCGTATCTATAGGAACAGTTGTTTGATCTAGTCCGAGCACTGATTATTTCACCGAGATTTCCTATATAGGGACAATAGCCTTCTGCTGATTAATGACGCGATTATCTACCTTTGACCAATATCATGAATTTACGTTCGACTCATTCATTACTACTAAATGTTTAACTATTCTTAATCTGTTTTCCTCAGTCTCCATTACTCACAACCATCTTTTGGCTCTATCCTTGCTATATTTTAATTCATGGTGTGATGTGGTTGGGTATTTCTGTATATCAACCACGCATGTTCGAAATATACTATTCGTATGGCGGAGTCCATTAGCTGTGTTCTGGACTCAATGGCCAAGGAAAGTATCAAATAGAGGACCAATAAGAGCTCTGAGTCGACTCAAGGTTTATAGTGCTGTAGATGGGTTCTCATTAGTGTTTTTGTCATGTGATATTAGTGAGCGGCCATAAGTTATAACTAACACTTTTTAAAATGTTATTCTGAAAAGGGATTTGGATGAAATTTAACGATTTTAATTTAATGAATTGATCTATGTCAACCATAGAAATACCATGTAGTATAATATTAACTAATCCAGAAAAATATCTCATTCCGATAGCACGTAAACAACTTTATTAGAACCACTTGTCTCAATCAGGATAAGAATAAAAACGTTGTAGGTACTGAGTCAGAAAGCTAAATACAGTGAATTAAAACGGCAATGATAACAATTACAGTAATCAGTACCTTCGGTAAATTCTATTGATGTATTAAGAAGTTGAGTAAAAATGTGATGTATGTTTGCAATATGCATTTAAAACAATCTAATCACACATATAACTACCAAGGGATTAATAAATCAAAACCAATAAAGGTCGAAAGAATAAAGGATTAACAAAATAAGCGATAATCCGAAACAAAAAAGGGAAAATTAACATAATATTGGGAAGAATAAGTTATCATAACAAATGGATGAAAGATTAGCAGGGTAGAAACAAGGTTAAAGCAAATTGGTATACAATAGAGGGTTGAGTTTCCTAATATTCAAGGCTTCTACAAACTTAAGAATCAGTCCTTGACAATTTCTGCACTATACTTTAAAAGTTGCTTTAAGGTCAATCTAATGACCTATTTCGACTATGTGTTTTGCTATCTAGGATTATGGCCTCCTACTTCCTGTTTATTGGGGCGCTTAACATTAACTGACTAAGGAGATGTTTATTTCTAAATCTATTCTCTATATGAATTACTTTATAAGTGAGTTTTCACAAGTTTGGAACAATTTACCACAATATTTATGTCGACAGACGAAAGTATTATGTAACACCAATTAGAAGTGGAATGCCTGAAAGCAAAAGGTTGAGAAGATTGAACTGAAAAAACACAAGGAAAAGACAAAGGGATCGAGAATTGGAAGAATCAAGAAGAATGTCAAGGACAACTGATGTAAGATGTGCAAATGAAGTATTTAATCTATGGTTTTCGTATTTTACGAAGACATTCTGTAATTCTGTATTAACTGATAAATTGGTTGTCCCCACTACAGTACTATTTTCCCTAATTCAGTTTTCCCCATGACCTTAGGCGTTTTTCTAATTAGTTCGCTAAATTTTTATCTGTTCCAAGATCATATTTTCGTTAGTATGTATACGGAGTTATACCATTTTATTTACTTGAGCTTGGTCTACTTTAGTTATCAAGTTTTCTGATTTCTACCTCTGTTAATTGGTCAAGTGTTGTGTACTAGTTACCTTTATGAATTTACACAACACAACCAGCTGTATTAAAGCTTGTACTGAACACCAAAATATCAAGATTTCACACTTTGCAAATAATGTACCACTATTTTTTTTAAAAATATTACCTCTCTATTCTATATCACTTTCCTTATCTCCCGATAAATTGATGTGTATTGTTCAATAATTTTTAGAATAATTTATAGTTACAAACAGAAATTTATTCTATATGAAAACAGACATTATTATTACGTAATGTACGAAGTTGTAATTATTTCAGCACCGGATTTGAAATGATCCTCTATAGAAAAAAAAACCCAATAAAGTCAGTAGTAGGCAGAATAAGTCAAAATAAATCAAAAGATTGTGAATACAAATCCAATATAATCCAGGAGTAATATTTTGCCATTAAATCAATTACCATTTCTTCAAAATTTCATATGCTGAATTCAATGTTGAATCCTCCTGAAAAAGTCATAACAGGAAAAACACCAAAATATCAATAGCTAAACATTTTGCAAAGAACAGACAATTACACCAACAATTCCAAATGATACTCAATAAATAAAGAGATTTATTGATCACCAAATGTGGATAAATTAGTTATTAACTTGTATACAGTGAGAATAGAGGCTTAATGCTTAAAAAATTCACTTTAAGCAATTTAGTTTCAGATTCGAACGTACTGCGGATTTACTAAAATAATGTTCCATGGATTTCATCAGTTAGTTAAAATAGACCAATTAGATTCATTTGTCCCAATATTTAACACATTCCGGAGTTCTAACGTAACAATCAAAAATTAGTATTCATTAAAAAGGTCCCGATTAAAGAAAGGACACATCAATAATGACGACCATTAAAAACGTAGACATCAATAAAGGAGAAAATAGAAAAACTCTACTTTCAACAAAATGTTCGGATTTGGAAACAATTTATTATCATCAATCCACTCATGTCATTGCAAACAGCTATTTTGAAAAGAAAGCTTTAGACAATATATCTTTTCACTCACTATTGAGTATTATGTTGATATGATATTTATGCTTTCATTCATGGTTAAGATATCTATTGGGCGTTAACATTAGTATTTCATTGAGAATGGAACCATAGTGATTGATCGTTTTGCAAGTATTCACTGTGTATTTGAGAAATTTTCTAATTAATACTTACATTTGATTGATGACTAAATTTTATAGTAAGAAACAAGATTAGCAGACAGACAATTGTTTCATCGTATAAAAATTTAACTATTATGGATTATCCTTGAAAAAGTAATGTCATTTTTAACTTGGAATAGCTATATTCAGACTAATGTTTATTTTAAATGTGATATATTTTCGGACATGTATATATAAGTACGTTTGTGTGAATACAATGTGAATAAGTCATCCGTATGTTTATAAAGAATAGAGAATTCCAGTTAACGAATAACCCGACAGTAACTACTACACTGACGTGGTGTTCCGGCTTACCTATCTTGATGACGCAACCGAGCTATACTGGCTAAAACATGTGTTCCTGTAGGTTCTACCATGCCAGGCAGGTCACTTGGGGAACGGTAAGACTAAAAGCAGCAACTCAAGGTCTGAGGGCGAAGTCATACTGCTAACTGTAGAGGGGTGCGACAGCAGTAAGGTATTTTCCTCGGAAAATCAGCATTTGCAGCGATGCTGCCTTTACACAAGGAAGGAAGGGGTCAGAAAAGACCGATCCTAAAAATATCACACTTCACGGCTTTCCGTCTCCGAAAATAAAGCCTTTTGAATAACGGAGCTAGCACGTTAAAAAATCCCAAAGAAAGACCGTGAGTGATTGACCTTAATCAGTTGTCCGTTGGGCTCTGCTGTCACGCTGCCAGGTCGTTAAGATCAATACTAATTCACATTCTTTCTCAGGTCCATGTAAGAGCTTTAAACGTCTGAACACTATACCAAATAGGACAACAGACTTATTTAGCTAGGACTTTAGAATCTCGCGCTATCGATGTATGCTGCGTATCCAAAATGCGTATGCCCAAACACCGACTGCCCCGACGAGTGATGTTTTATGGTGTAAGAGTAGGTTGGAAGAAAGCTAGGGGCGGCCAGACCAAAACATGACACAAATCTATGAAGTCACAGATGAGTGAACTGAGTCATGTTGGTAAGTGTAGACTACCTGGTTGGGATCAGCGAGACGATAGCAACAGATGTTAAGAGACCTTGGATGACATCGCTCAAAATCGTTTGCAACGGCGCAGGTTCATTCACTCTTTGTGTTCTCTCAAATTCTAATTTTCTGAATTCTTTGCCCCTTTTTTCTCTTTCCAAATTTATTTCACTGGACTATACTCCTTGAATAACATCTTCAAACCCTAATTTTCCAATTACTGCATATACTTTTACTACCTCTACCACGATGGGATTTTAATTGACAACTGTATCTTTGTGCTAATGTGGTATGGTAACTCGAACTGATGTACGTACGTACGAAGTTTTACATTTTTGCTGACTGACCGAGAGTTAACAAATAAAATTCTAGTGATATACAACTGCCTTACAAAAGAAAATATTCGTCAAACACTTATTCAAAGATAATTATTTTAGCCTGAGGAATAAGCATCAACTGAGGGTCAATAATGAAATGATGTTTACAAACTCCATATTATCGCCTATCGTTAAGATAATGTGCGTTACCAGTCTTCATTCTCTACTAATCCAACTCATTTTCTGTGAAACGCTTTTTACTATTTGCTAATATTCAGTAGTCAATTTTATTTCTAAACTAAAGTATTTCTATATACGAATATTCGTCAAGATTAGAACGAATAGTTTGACAGAAATTGGGTGCCGAGTAAAGAGAAGTTATTATATGTGAAAATTATATTTGAAATAATCTCAGCGATTGAAATTTAAATAATCCCAACGTTTCGTCCAGCTAACTTTTCTGAACTTCGTCAGGATAATAATCAACATCAAAATCACCAAAGAAATATATAGCTTTTTAGCAATCAAAACTATACGGTGTTACACCAATCAAATTTGAATGTTGTAAAATAGGATGATGTTGATTATTATCCTGAAGAAGTCCAGAAAAGTTAGCTGGACGGAACGTTGGGATTATTTAAATTTCAATCGCTGAGATTATTTCAAATCTAATTTTCACATATAATAAAGCATTTCTATGTTGTTTTAAGACTTGGAGTTTTGCTTGAAGGAAAAATCCCTTTATTTCAACTCCGAATTGTGTCCACAAATTAAGATGAGTCAATTGTGATGTTTATTATATTGGAGTGTCATCTTTTGAAATGTTGACTTGAGACAAAGAACATCTTAGCTACACAGAGAAACCACCTAATAGTCTCGTAGAACTGGAAGGACTCCAAATTAAATCGGCAATGGCAGTTCATCGTATTTTTAAAAACCAACAAATCGATATCAAAATAATACAAAAAACTTTTTCCAACTACAAATAAAGGCGAGTAGCCGAAGCTTTTCATATTTCACTTAATCCAACTGCCTTCAATAGAAAAGAAGGCCTCACTATCCATCCAAATCGGACCATCTATCCAAGCTATCATGTCTGATTTTATTCACATTTCATACTATTAACGTACATGAAAATTAAACTCTACCCTTTATCACTACAAATGTCACATTTTTTCATTCCTTACCATACAAACACAAATAGATAAACATGCCTCATATAAATCACCTAGACTGGAATGACATGACATTGACTTGGTCAGACCCGTTTTTGATTGATCGCAATTTATTATTTTTGTTTTGTTCCTTTGTACTATTTAAACTTGAGTTAACTTAATTTTCAGAGTCCCATACTAGAACGAAACGGCCGTCCAGTGCTTCCAGGTTTTCCATGGTGGTCTAGCTTCAATTGACTCATGATTTCAACTAGTGAAATTAACTTTATTTTTTTGTCCGCTGAAAAAGTGGTTTACACTGAGTCACGAAACGTCAGAAAAAATTTAATTTTTCTTCTCATTGGGATATAACAAGTATATTATTTTTATTTATGACACTCTAACCAATGACCAATTTATTTGAAAATATCACGTCCAACGTTGGTAATGATACCCACATATCTTGATTGTGTATTAATCCAAAGTATTTACGTAAACTAACAACATTTACTGTATTTGTCATTTTAATTACATTCGCTGAAACATTGTAACTGTTATTTTAAGTTTTTGTGCATTACTCGAACCTATCTTGCGGCAGCTTCCATGTTTATCGGCTCTTTGTCTTTGTTCGATTGTTGATAGTCAGTACTGACTTAAGACACGCTTATTAATTGTGATTTAAATCTTTTCCTTACCACATATAAAATCGTTTTAATCCTAGATACCTTACGAGTTGAGGTTTGTAACTAATTTAGATATATTTTGCAATCATAAAACCGTTATTTTATATCTTTGTTTTGAACCTCGATTTCACGAGTGTCTCAGCCATGTAATCGAACACTCAAATAGATTTGACACTTATGAAGCAAAAAGCCTACTCAGACAACCTAACTTGGGTGACAGACATCCTTTAGTTCAGTTCAGCTCTATTTACCTGTTCCTGGGTTAGCATTTATATTGATTAGACAGAAACGGTATTATCAAAGAGAATCTCCAAAACATTCAACAGCACTATAATTTATTCTGTTTCCAAAATGACGAGAATCCCAATAGTATATGCTGTCAAATAATGCATATATACTTACATAAATGTAGATTAATTGTTTAAAGTGTAAGTAGGTTACGAATATCATATCAAAATAATACTCCATAGTGAGTGAAAAGATATATTGTTTAAACCTTTCTCTTCAAAATAGTTGTTTGCAATGACATGAGTGGATTGATAATAACAAATTGTTTCCAAATTCGAACATTTTGTTGAAAGTAGCATTTTCATAAAACGTTTTGAGAACTACGTTTTTGATTGGCTGTAGAGGCAAACGGACAAACAACTGACTAACTTTCAAACTTTTCGAAATTATGTTCCCCCTATTCTATGCTCGCCTTTATTAATATGTACTTTTTTAATGGTCACGATTATTCATATGCGCCCTTTTTTAACCCCTTATTCGTGCGAACCGTTGATGGGGTACTGGATCAAATTATGGAATCAGTGGTAATACCCAAGTATAGTGTTTGTTAACATTCAATTATTATCATTGATATAGTGTGTGTATTTCACACGGGTAAATATGAACAGAAATATGTAAAAATAAATGTGGAAGAAATAAACTTACTTTGAAAAAACAGAATCGTAAATATTTTGAACCAAGATGTTGATTAGATGTTGAATAAAACACACTCATTGGAATAGCAGAAACACCCTAAAATAAATCAAATAAGATTATATAACGACGAGATATTGATGATAGAAATAAAACAGGATAACATACATTTATAGCAATCAGTACTTTATCACGGTTAGATACGGTGCAAATCTACATTTGATAAAACTAATTAAGGAGTAAAGTACAGTTACACAAAAGGAATACTTCATACAACACCAGCAATCAAACGACTGACTACTTTCAATACGCTAGAAAACGTGTGTATGGTAGGAAAGAGTGAATTATAAAGGATGAAATAGCTTTGTCTACATTAACATAGAATAGAGGAAATGTGGATGACAGTGGAATCCAAAAAAAACATGTTTCGTCCTATCGGGGGTCCCATCAGGTGAATATATTTACATCTTAAATTAAATGTTCACTTAGGGACTTGATTTACTTTAGTTTCAAATGTAAAGATGTCTGTGGCTGTGAACGATCTTGATGCGAACACACAGACTAATAACTACGGTTCATGGTATGAGGAAAACTTAGAATTACAATTACACCTTGTATAAAACTATCATAAAAAAACCATACTTCACATTAAATTTAAATGAAAACTAGTGAGATTTGTCAGACATTTTTCGTTAAAGTAGTATGAATAGATTTGTTAACTAATTAATGTATCCTCTCTCCTACAATCATCAAAACTTTTAGTGTTCTGAATTATATGTTACCCATTTTTGGTAAGAAACCTTTCAAGAGAACACTGTATACATTCAGGTAAACATTGAAAAGTATTTTCATGTAAATTCTTAGATTTATTCAATGATACATATACATTCAATGAAACATATGGTGTAAATTCACTCAATGACCCCCATATAACTATTGCTGTAATCTCTCATCATAGGGATTCATATAATACTTCGTTTATCATTTTGAATCACTAACATTATATATGGAATTTTGGATATGATGTATCGTATATCTAAGCTCCTTTTCTATGAATTGTTCCACACCATTAAAGATGAATCAATTACTAGTTAGTGTACTAATTCTAACTTAATTGTAATCTACATTATTGTCCTTTGAATTGTAGTTACATTCAAAAGAAAACAATTTTGAACTGTTTGAGAAACATACTAGTAACATTTAAAGATTTCATTGAAAATAAATTCGGATTGGTTTTATCTAAGGTTTAATACTAATGTTAATTCTAGATAATCTCAATGTTTATTGAACATATTTACTAAGAGATTTATTTGTGTTGTACAATTTATCTATCCGGTGAGAAAAAACAACAACAACAGATTAATCTAAGTACGAGCCCATATAACATGAATAAATGAAAATGGTTGTCGCTTAACTATTCACCTTTACATGGTTAATTATTGATTCAAGTCAATTTTATGTAGTTATTCTAAATAGGAAATAACTACTAAACTGTCACTTCCGACTAGAATAATACAAATAGCAATTCAAGAGGATGAATAAATCATGCTAATTCTTAATTCATGATCTTAACATAGACGTAAAACAGATTAGAAAACATATACGCTAGTGGATTAAATCTATCATGTTTTAAGTATTGTAATTCAGAGGTAAGAACAACAGGTTATTTCATTACATAGAATGTGCATTTCTACAGAGATTATGTCATCAGTTTACCTACCGAGATTTTTGTTTGATAAAAAAAATAATGGGAATATGTTGGAGACTGAAACTTTACCATTATTATTCAGCATAAACTGTACAGTAGTCAATTTCTGTTGTTAAAGAAAGACTTAGCATACATAAATTGGACTTCATATTTCCAAAATTAGTATTTGTTTATCAAATAACTTATTCTTGGTAGAGAATATCTGAAACGAGTTGATGATGATACTAGCAATGTTACTTAAATAAGTGAGGAATTAGTAATGGCATGGTGTGGAAGTCCAACTCCAACCAATCCAACATACCAAGTGACAATTTCCTCCTGTCTTTGATAGGTGTTTTCTTCACTCTCAACATGACTCAACCTCACTGGACAGAGTGCAGTCGTGGATGTCTACAACTACGGAGTCCTATACTAGGACGAAACAGATGTCCAGTGCCTCCAGGTTTTCAATGATTCCAATAAAATTTACTACTACGACCAGCTTCAAATGACAAAAACCAATATAACAAGGGCATATATACATATGTTAGATTGTAGGATACAGTTCGTAAGAAGCTACTCAGTCCCCTATCAACGAACGTTATTTGAAATCTGGAAGGAACTGGTCATCCCAGGAAGATGTGAACACACATCGTTAAAACTCCATAATCGAAGACGTTACGATTGAGGTTAGTCGGTAAACGAACGTCATTATCGGATACCAGCTAAAGACACTGATTGCTACATATATACTTACTTTATTTTGCATCATCCAATTATTAAACTTGACATCATACGATAATGAGTCATTTTTGTCCAAATCATTCGATGGGACATCTGAAAGAAAGGAGTACAAATGTAAAGAAAATAGAACCTGGAATAATTGGACCTTTAATAAAGACACTAGTATTATTAGAGTCAATAAGTGCTGCAGGGAAAATTTTTAAAAATCATGTTAAATATATACAAAACAAGGAATTAGTTTTATTTTAGGCATATAGGCATGGATACGCTAGTTTATCAGTGACAACGAAGCTCTTAGAACAAATGTGTGTTAGCTCAACTTTCTATACTACAGCAGAATGACAAAACGAAATTAACACGTGAACGAGTCGAAATAATTATGATAGAAATAATGAGAAAGAATATATAGTGTGAACATGACTCGAGAAATCACTTCACTAACTAGCGATGAGAACTTGTATGGATGCTACTGCAGAGGTCAACACCAAGGCGAAACACTTATCCATTGATCTCTAGTTTTCAGTGGTAGTCAAAATGAAGCTGATTTGTAGGGAATATCGCCTACCAACAAAAAGTGATATTCACCAAAAACTTAAAAATCTGAAAATTGAACAAGAATATATAGTGAACAAAAAATAGTGACATACATGGAACTTACGCAATTTGGAGATATCTGCCACGAGGAAATATCCTCCAGTGGGTCTTACTGCTATCATTCCTATTTCATTCAATTTCTTAACCATATTTCGACCTTTCGGTTCAATCAATGCACACATCTCATTAAAATACGATTCATGTGTATTCAATAATGGTAATTCAATTTCTAAACTTCGTGCAACAGCTTCCTAGAATAGAATAGAAACCAGGTGAAATGAATTACGATTACAAACACCAATCAGAGTCTACATTACAGACTCATGTTAAATGAGTCTGTAAAATAGACGCCCCGAATGCCCTGATACGTCCGAGAGTGGGAAGAGCCAGCTCTCCCTGTCGAAATGCTCTCACATGACCACGTGCATACAACCACAACCACGCAAGTCCTACTCACTGCCTTCTCGCACCACAGATGTTGTTTACGAAATTGAAAGGACGAAAAGATAATGTCCGGCGCTTCAATCGAGTTGGTGGATACGGAGGATCCACTTAGGGGAGTTGGAAAACCCTGATTACAAACTTATGGTGTACATGGGCTCCACGATCCTAAGGAAACAAATGGCGTATGGACCAATTATTGGTCACCGGCTACCATGAGACTGCATGTTCTTAAGTTGCCCCACTGCCTTGTGCATTGGACCTTTAGGTCAAGGGCTCCATGTGTGGCCCCCTAAGGAAACCATCTGTTGTGGCTTGGGCACCCGGGTAGTATTAAAGCCCTCACATAAATCGGATGATTTATGTGGCGTATATGTATTTGATGCCTCCTTGTACCAATGTTTATGTTTCAATAAATAAATAAATAACTCATATTAAATGGACAATCTATAAATATAATAAGAGAACTAAACAACTAAACAACAATCTTGTCCTAGCTTGGAGACTCGCAAGCAGTTCTCGTACCATACAGATAAACATGACAATGTATAGGAAGTGAGACACATACCACTCGTATCAAATAGTATGTTATGTTTATGAATAAAGATTCTGGCATTCTCGACAAATATACTGTTGCTTCATTTAACAACCGTAGTATAAATTATTTTATTTAATTGACAAAAAATGAAGCCACTACCTCGGAAAATAAACATAAATCATACTATTAAATAATGGAAATCGATATTGTAATTGAAATGTGTTTATTACTTGTAAAGGAGTTGGACATGTATACACAGTATTTTGTTGATGCAATTGCATAGCCTGTATTAAATTAGCTGGTCCAATTGTCCAACCTAATTTCCAACCGGTTACACTGAATGTTTTGCCAGCACTTCCAATAGTCAGGGTACGTGACCACATACCAGGCAAAGAGGCTGTGAAAATAAACACAAGTAAGCTTGAATTTATTTCCAAAATAAAACAGGTCAACGTATAAAGTTACACAAAAGATAATTACACCGAATTTCCCTGATATACTTAAAAGCGGACGAGGAGTCACTCAAAATCAACGTTTACAGCGATTAGTGTGAATTTGAAATGGGAAATATTGGTCACCTACCTGATAAGTATGTGTAAAAGATGTCTCCTTCATGTTTTAAAATGACAGGAATTTAAAAACATGATATATTAAAAAAATCTAGAATAATTGCTAACACTAAAGTAGAGGTCATGTTTTTCTTGCCACTTAAAACTCATCAGTTGAATTTACCTTCGTAACAGTGTTGATTTTCGAATCGAAAATCGATCACAATATAGATCACTACAAACACCATAAAGAATTCGCTACTGAAACACTGTAAAACCATACCCACTAGCGTCCACCGAATGCGATGAAACTATTTCCAAGAATACTCTTGATGATAAAATTTCTAAATTCAAATAGAGTTGTACCGGGGACATAAGTCAAAAGAAACTTAACAAATGCAGCCAACAATACACAGAATTTACAATTGCTGTTTATGTATTCATGATTACAAAAAATCATGAACTTAAATTAGTTACACAGCGGACGTTCCTAAGTACCCCTTAGATAGTAATCTAAGGTAAACAAGTACAACACTTTATATCCATAAGATATACTCAAGCGAATAACTGTTAATTTTACCCTATGGTAAATGATAAGTTAACATTTCAAGTATTTTGGATTAACGGTGCTTACAATATATTGGAATAACATATACACATACTTTATTCGGAATAAACAAGTGTACAAAAAGACATTGAAATAATCATTATTTGTACACAACTTTAGCACTTAATAAAACGGAGCATTGGCTAACCACGTACCGATTTTAATATGATGATTAGGCGGAAATACTAACCATTCATAAACTTCATCTGAAATGCACACCAAATTATGACGAATGCATACATCCGCGATACTTTCCAATTCTTCTCTATTAAATACCTAAACGTTTGGGAGGAAAAATCATAAAACAATTGAACACAGATTGATCGCATTGACTAGTGCTGCTTTTTATAGTTGCTGATCGAATTCATCCGACCAAGTGTGACCTCTAGTCTAATTGAATTAACTTCATCTAAGTTCTGACATTATATAGTTAAAGACAATGCACAAGAAGCTGAAGACTTAGACTTCATTCCAGATCGTACAAAATAGCTAATTACATCCTATTTATGTAGGGAAATGATATTATTTAGTGACCCGGCATCTGACTCCATTTGGATCCTATGAATGTTATTGAAACATACATATTGCCAGTACTCGCATATTATTATCGACTTAAATCAAGTTGGTGAATAACGAAATTAGATAAGTCAAATGCGAAAATGGATTTTTGAACACGTATATTTTGTACAACCACTGATCGGAAAGGGAAGCAAAACAAAACTCTATTAAACCAAACGTCAACCGATATTTATAGTCAGACAAAAGTAAGTTACAAACATGTGATGAGGAAGATGAGAAATGCACACACATACGCTTACACAAAAACAGTCAAGGCTGACAAGCGAATAATTAACAAGGTCAAATGCGACTCAAGAAGAATGAATAAATTGGCCTGTCCGGAAGCTGGAGTAAGGTATGTGGGGTTGACATAGCAACCAACACTACGGTCCCCCCAGAAAGATCTGATACACAGACACCTGAGCTACTCAAATAGGTTATAAGAGGAATATTTCAAAAGAGAGAAGTGACCAATTATCATGATCGTTTAATTCTTACTTTTAATTGAAAGCAGTAAAAACATGTAGACTGAAGAGGCTAACCGACACGTCAATTCAATTCACAAATACTTAGTTTACGTTAAAGTCAAATCAACTACATATTTATTATTGAGAATAGAACAATTACAACTTACTTTACCCAAAGGATTATGTGGTGTGTTTAATAGTAACACTTTAGTTTTTGAAGTAATTTTCGATTCCAATTCTTTGATATCTAATTTCCAACAATCACTGATTAATTCTTCACCATCATCTAATTGCTATTTAAATTAATCATAAAAGATTACTTGGAAATAAAAGTGGATTTTACAGAAGTAAGCAATTGGCAGATTATATAACTATCACCTTTTCTACATAACAGGAAAGTGGCTAAGAGTAAGCCAATGGTGAATGTATAAATTGTTATAAAGTCACAGTGTAGATGTTAGATGAATATGTCGTTTACAGCTGAAAAAGTGAAACAACGGAGGAAACGCTGCTAGTTCATTAAATTCTGAAAACATTTTATTCAGAAAAGCATGCCGTACTTAAAAGATAATTAGAATGTACAAGTTAGAGTTAGTATGTTGAATTTAGTTTTAGAAAAACTGTAAAATTTAATACTATCTGTCTTAAGTCCTAAACCCTAAATTACAAAGTGTAGATACTGCTTCTAGTATTAAAATCTAAATTGTGTTTCCTAATCTTAACCCAAAATCACTAACTCTAAATCTTAAGCACAGCCCGAATCCTTGTCATTTGAGTCATAAATCCTTTATTTACCTTTGCTGTAGTCTGATCGCCTGGATATGTTAACAGCTTGCCAAGGTCATAGACATGTTTGCTTCGGCTCGCCTTTGCAATTCAGCTTTATACGTTTTTCACTAACTTCAAAACAATGACATTGTAGTTTTGTGAAAAATGCATCCATTTCAAAGCAATTCTAATCATTGTATCATGTTTTGAGAGGTTCCAGAGTCTTGAGCTCGATTACTCATTTGTTTGCATGTTAACTGAAGAGTCCTTATGCTATCGTATCTATTGATACTTAATTTTTTAAGATTATTTAACTAGTATAGGCTCACGATGATTACGAACTTCATATAACACTATGTATACATGTTTCTGTCATGATCTGCAGTTATTGTGGTGATTTCATGTTAATATCATCTTTCTGCAATCATATGGAATTGATAACTTGAACCGATGCACAGACCTCCCAGATTTTAAGTCGCTTCAAGCAGACTGACAAATGTTGAAATTCAGTTTTAAATGTTAGATACATTGAAATGAGTTGACATTGTTATAATTTCACTGAGTTACTTCTAATTAGTATAGAGGCTAATGGCGGACGTATATTCCATCCTACTTAGAACTAGTCAGTTTGATATACCTCAGTGCCAGGGTTGATGTTCGCGCTGAGACTTATATCTAGCCCCAATAGATTCTAATCCAAACGTACAACCGTTCAATTACTATTTCACAGACACTACGTATAATTAGTCTCAAAACTTCGTATATAAATTCACAGGCGAATTCTCACAGTTTAATTAAATTTACTTCGACTCGAAAAATAAAAAAATCCAAATACGAGTTGGGTTACAATCGATGTTTTAGAGTCAATTGAATCAACAGACCACCAAACACTGGCAGTCAAACAAGACACAGAAACAGAATGTGTAGAGTATGCTTTGAACATACCCAACAATGTGTACATGAGTGAGTCATAAATTATTAAGTGACTGAGTTTACAGTAAGAGAATAGATAGATAACTCAGTAAGTTAAATACAAAGCGTTAACCGGACCATTCGAAACTTTTGTGTTCGATCCCTGGTGAAATCGTTAATACAGACCTTTAACAAATCATTTAACTATAACGAAGGAATTGTTCTAGTCCTTATCGATTTTCAATAAGTATTTTCAGTCGATATGATGAAAAGTAATTTTAAGAAAATTAACTTAAATGCTACCGACCGGTCGAAGTGGTACATAAATCGGTACACCACCAGCCATTACTGTCATTGGAGTATAACAGTCAAAACTTGGATCCATAATTATCACTTCATCATCAGGATTAACTAATGCTGATATAGCCGTAAAAAGCGAACCATAAGCACCAACAGTAATAATAACTTCTTTTAAAGGATCAATTTCTCTGTCTGGTCCAAATGAGTCTACTTGAAGACTCCCAGATTCACCATACAGTTTACGATCACATCTTAAAAAACTTGTATACAGTTTAGATAATACAGTCACTAAACGCGGATGACCCTGAAAAAAGAGATAAATGAATATTTCAGAAAAAAACTATCAGTGAAGCATAATCGTCAACGAAATCAACGAATGAAAGAGAAGTAAGATATACAATCAATATGAAGTCGGTCTCAGTAGTGCAGTTGCATTCATTTTATTATCTTTTTAAGAATTTAAAGATGCGTTATTTCATACTTTTCATTCACTGATCTCATTTTTTCTCTTGTATAGAATTGAGATGGAGTTGAAATTTACTACTCTTATTTACTTCATAATCAGGTTAATCCACCCCCCCAAGGCTCTCATTGTGCTAATGTGAGGTGTAACCACTAAAATCAAAATATATTTGTCAAAGCTCTTACATGAATGATCGCTTACTTCACTAATTAAATAAATACACCATCACGGTGATAAATACATCAAACTGAAACAGTTCACCATAAGTTTTAATCTAAACCGCTTAGTCAATCCAAATCACAATATGGGCACTATGATTTACGAACTCCCTCTAAACATTAGGTTTCATCATTATTATCATTATATTGAACTCTTTATTCCTAAAATTCCACTCATATCTTTTGAACTACGCTTCCTATGTTTATTTTATCAAGACTACTAATATTTTTCTAGTGCCGTTGCTTAGAAAAAATTAAAAGATTGAACAATTAATTCCATAACCACAATCACATTCTCCTTACTGTTCCTTTGTTAAAATGAAGTTTTATTATCTATCAAGTACATGTAAGAACTATTACATAACTCCTCAACAAAGCATATCATGAAGGTAGAAATTGGGAGAACTTTATACGTAATTCAACCATTTCAATTAATGAAGATTTATAATCTCCTAATAATCAATACACAAATGAATGTAACTAATAATCAGTCTTAATCAGTCATCAGGCAAACCCCTTCTAAACTCAGTTTATTAATCACTGTGTTGAATGGTTAAATATGTATAGACGACAATGTGTAATGCGATTCAACTTAAATATTACACAACACATCGAGGTGTAAAAATACTTCGCAGTAGAACAAAACCTACATCTTTTTTGGGAACTAATTGGTAGAAACAGGTTGATTATGAAAACATGATCAAAAATCTGCAAATATCGATCCAATAATCCAAACTTACGAATTCAAATTCAGAGTTTCATTAGACAATCAAACACATTTGTCAATGAAGTCATGACATAACAGAAAAAGTATATTTCAGTAATAATTAATTTGCTTACCATAGATCTAGTGTATTGATGAAGAAATGGGCTAACATCGGGTTTTCCAAGCATGGTTAAACTTTCAAGAACATGTTGTTTTGGAAGAATGTCCGGAAAACCCTATAAATTACGATCAAATTATTGCTTCAGAACAGGAATTAGAAACAATTGCTTACGTTACATATATATATACCACGATCACTTAAGGATAAGTGATATATTCAGTAATAGCATTTCAAAGTCGGCGGTTGGTTGGCTATTAGTTTACTACCTCCCCATATCATGTTGACCGAAAAGTAACACACAATCTTCTATGAAAGAAGACTAAAACAGTAAAGGGGAGGAAGAAACGTAACAGCACTGCTAGAATGTGTACACATTAAGCGTTAAATCCAAACATCACAATATTGAAAATCATTCTCAGAATGTTACATAGCTGGCTTTATCGAATAATATGTGTATTTCATACAACGATATTAATCAGTTGACATATAATAGATGGGATCTGGCTAACAGTGGAATAAAGGATGTGTGTTTCTTTCAATATTTGACTCGTCAGCTAGATGTACTTGCATCCTGGAGTTGCTGCCAAGTCAGGAACTCGAACCCAGTACCGTTCACTTCGAATGCTATAGCATTATTCACTTGACTACTGAGTTCAGATAGTCACTGACTTACGAAACCAGGTCTCGGAATGAGCACAAACCCTGGGATGCAAGTATATCTACCTGATGAGTCCCGAATAGGACGAAACATGCATTCTGGATTCCACTGTTAGCAAAATTATATTTGCCATACATTAAATTGTGCTACAATAGCTAGGTGATTCGCACAGGATGTAAATATTCCAACTAAGACTGATCAAATTACAGTCAAAATACCAACAAGGGGATAATCGAAACCACTTTACATTGAAAGAAATCTGATTAGTTTCATTTTTCAATTAACAGTAGAAGTTACCTGACCTAAATTGACCGGTTTGTATTTAGCCACTGCATGATTAATTTCCACCCTGTTCAAAAGAATAAAAAATCAATACAATTACAATAAACGATTAAAATATAACTTAGATTACAAGCGAATGAAACAATAATGATAGGTACAAAAAAGCAAAGGTTTCATCGTGAATAGATAACTACAAAAAGAGGTACTCTGAAAGTATGAAGTGTAAGAGTGTTGACTTGCGGCAGTGCACTTAGGATCAACTTCTGAGAGTTAAAGTAAAGGCCTACCCTGAGAGGTAATGATGGACTAGCATAATAGGTTAGGTTATAAATAGTAAGATGAAACTACAGCATTACTTCGTGAAATGATTATTGAAACAAATCATATCAAGATCTATAGACGATCTGGTTAGAGTTCGAAATAATTGTAATCAATGTCCGGAATTCGCGGATGGCATGAATTTATATCGACTGTAATACAACAATAGGATTTGTTTCCAAGACGAGTAGTTCATATTTTTCATTTTTAAATTTCATATGTTCTTTCTAAACCAGAATTCCTTTGTTCAGTTTTCGCTATCATTAGAATTACAATTTAAACTTTATTGTTTATCATTCTATTGATTTTCCTTTGCTGTTAAGTGGAGATATATGAACTGACAGAAATTTGCACCAAATCATATGTTCTTGATGAATAACTGAGAAGCAGAGACAAGCAGATAGAACGTATAAGTCAATAGGAACATAGACATCTTCTAGATGTATAGCTCCCAACGTATCGTTGGATTCAATGAAAAGAAACGAAATGAAATGAACATCCAAGACACAAGTAGATAAAAAAACAAATAACTATGGTTGAAATAAACCGATAAAGCGCGGAATAAATGCGATTGTTTTAGCTTTGAAACATGACACCAGCATTAGTTTTCTAAAGACTCCAAATACACCATGCTGACAAGTTACAACTAACACTAAACCTATGTCCAGGATTTCCTCTTAAATATCTCCAACCACTTAATATCTCAACACATTGTGAGTAACCAAGAGTCACTAAGATCAGTGCGCACATCGCAAATTTTGGTCGATCGAGTTCACTCAGCATTAAAGATTAGGCAAGCATAACGTTAGTCACTATAAAGTAATCAATTCATATACATCTTAATAGTGAATGCTCAAAGCTTTAAATCCAGGTTCATAAGTTTTTTTTAGCTAACAGAGAATACACTCTTGTATTTACACACTTTTATTGCAATTGTCAAAACTCGGTCAAATATTAAGAATATGAACAAGTTGGTGAAAGTTAACGAGTTTCTTTTTAAACCAAAGAACATTTCAAATGTATAGTTGAATATATAGATACATACCAAATACTGGGTTTTTGCTTCAAAATACGAGCAGCTGGAAGAATCATAGCAGATCGTGTTTCATTAAGCATATCTGTACAATTCTCTTTAGCCTAATTAGAATAATAAAATAGAAAAGATATGCCATTAATAATATTACACTAATACACATAGATGGTCAATAAATTAGTACATATGATTATTAATAAGCAGCTAGATAAACAATAAAGGATCAGGAAAATACTTATACTGAATAATGTTTACAAACATCAGTAATCCAAAAGTCATATTAACTGACCACATATACATGAAAGTATAGGTGTTTACGAATTAAGATTATAATTCATTACCGAGTCAAATTCGTGTTTTGCATAATCTCAGTAGGTTTTTGATCACTGCAACTGTCATTTTGTAGTTGCTCGAGACGAATCTTCGGAAATCAAAATTGTTTACGATAAATATACCTAAGTTTCTCAATCGACACTTAATTAGTTGTTAACAGGTTTGCTAATTGCATGTTGTTACAAACTTATCAACTTGGATAAACGCGCTGTGATGTTTATGACTTTTCTTATTGAAATTAAAAGTCGATGATGGTTGATACTAATCACAAGCTACAGCGATTATTTTGCTCAACAGCTGGCAATGAGAGTTGATCAAACTCATATTTTGTAAGAACAGATAACACAGCCATTCAAGCTATTTTACTACGAAAAAATGCAGCCTTAGCTGTTCTTTACACATTCCTTTTAACGTTTTCTATTTCACCCAACTATTCTTTTCTAGACATAGCTCGTTCTTTGTAGCATCGAAAATGCCAAGCATTCTGTTAATTGCCTTATACCACAGTTCAAATTTATTAATGATAATTTCGGATGGTGATCCGTCCAATGTCGATTGGCTTTTTACTAATATATCAACAATCGTACAAATTTGTTACAACCAGTTTTCTTCCTTCCGCATAGATTATTAAAAAGCGAATAGTATAAGCTTACGAAAATATTTATTTGCTTAATAGACTTGATAGTTGTGAAAAATAAAACTACACAGTAGACTGAATCAGCCATCGTTTTGTGTTTTCTGCAAATCATGAGTGCAACCTTTCTTATATTGATAAACTAAACACGATCTTGAAAGGTGACCTAGTTTCCTTTGAAAATTTTTGTCACGTAACAGGCAACGAGAAGTTCAACCAACTGGTTTAAGTTAAACAACTCAGAAATAATTTAATATATAAAAGATGGAATGTGGCTATCAGTGCAATCTAGAAAGAGCGTGTCATCTTAGTTGTCAGTCAGTCAGCTACAACGTAGGACCAGGCACATATATGCATCGGTCCAAGTTGCCATACCTCATTAACACCACAAGATGGACACCGGATTCATAAAAGTAGTTAATTCATAGGTGGTAATATATAAAAGAAAGATTGCAATAAGGATACAGTACAGGAAGAAAGAATTAGTTGGGAATTGTTAGATGGATGTACCTGCATCTCAAAGTTGAATTCGAGTCTTAGGATATCAACTCTGGGATGCAGGTACACCCATTTGACGAGTAAAAATAAGCCAAAAACGCATCCTGGATTCTATTCCTAGTCACGTTGCATCTACTCTATATTAACTTGTGTCACTATAGCTATATCGAGGAAATTCGCACAGAATGCACATGTGCCAATTAAGACTGGTCAAATGTCAATCAAAATATCAACAGGATAATCCAAACCACTTCAAATGTAATCAGAAATAACCGTAGTTACGATCTTAAAATCCGAATCAGAGAGAAGATAGCTGCTTAAGAAAATCAGTTCGTGCCTAAGTTTTATACGGCTATGCTTCAATATTCCTGAAAGTATAGGCACTACATGGTTGATAAAAGTGACAGAACCAACTGATTTAGTTGAGAATTCGAAATTTCATACTGTTGTCCAGTTATTCGTTATGAGTGAGGATCTAACCTCCTATCATTCCAATTAACAGAAATAATTAAATCAAGTTTGAAGCAGGGCAGAGTTTCGTATCAGCCTAGTTCGTTCTTCTGGCTCTAGAAAAGGCGGTAAGGATAAATCGATGGGTAGATGCATTAACTGATAAATCAACAACTTGAGATAATGAGGGCAATTAACATGTCATAATCAACAATAACATTCGTACCTGCCCATTCACTAATAAACAATGCACTTTTTCGATCAAGCAGTCAGTTGGGGGGTTAGTGCGTAGCATACCGTGTATCAGTATCAGATTTCGGATACCGCACGTGCCCTTAGAATTTATCATTAAGGTTAAAGAAAGAAAAACTACAGACGGCGGTCCATATTATAATTTATCATAGTAATTCGATTGTCAATCTCAAAAGTATTACATTCCGAATAAGAAAAGAAATAATATGCAGATTATTAAGAAAGAAATGATGATTATTTGCTCAACATACAAATAAATCGAAGTCTTTCTCTAACACTTTCACAATGTCTAAATGATATTCATTCATGAAAGCAATAAATAGAATGATTTGTAAATACGATTTGGCGGTACCATAGATGAGTGGAGAATATAACCAATACACACACACACACATTCACAAACATGTCGAATCAAAACAGTTTGAGCACTGAACAAAACAAGGAAACGACTGAAATAAATGAAATATTAAAAATAAACAATTGTTTCAGAGTTTTTATTGAAATTTCAAATATTTATTAACCATGAGGTGTGGATTAATACCAGGAATATGACCAACATATACAAACACTTTATGAATTCAGTAGAAAATACTATTTACAAAGAAAATGCACGAGAATAATAATAATAAGAGTATATTTAAATTGAGTAGAAAAGCAACTAATAATTATAAACAAAATAGAGTATACAGGATTCTTATTGTCAGTTTACTGCTATTGCTATTATTACTACTGGATGTTATCATATCGACAATGAAAGCCCAATACTGATTTGTAGAAATACAAACACAAGCGAACAAATGATGGTCCCGTTGATGAGTATACATGAAACAGATACTTTATTATTGTTACTTGACTCTTTTCATTCTCTTGTGAGATTTTTCTTTCATATGTTTTTTGTGCTTCTTATGGACTGATGATGTTGAAGGTGAACGATTCAAAGAAGATCTCCTGCTACCATTACTATAATGCTTATTTCTTTTAGATTTTCTATGACTGTGACATTCAGATAGACGGGAATTTTTATAATTATTTTTAGATCGAGACGAATGATGATGCCCTATTGGAGAAGAGGACCGTGAATGTGAAGAAATTGAGCTAGAGGATTGTCTTTGCGTTTTACGTCGATCATGATAGTGCTGATGACGATGGGTAAGAGATGAAGAGTCGTTGGAAAGTGATCTAAAATGCAGAAAAGTAAACAGAAATTAGAAGTTGAATGAAAAGTGCTTGATATCTCCAGTTAATAATTGGTAACAGCTTGACAATTCACAAAGATACTTAACACTTAAAAGCATTGAAATTTCACGTCCTTCATTCCACCACGTTTAAATCCACCTAAACAAAAAATTCTCCATAAGTGTAAACAACAAATCAAGTAATTTTGACAGTGTAATAAGAAGACGAAGATTACCAGAACTGTGACATATTAGCGCAATACATTTCGAACAATCTGATCACATATATACTTGTTAAGAACATTTATATAGAAAAATTAAAGGTCAACTAGACTAGAAATGAAGGGTAAGAGGAGATAATGATAATATTAGCTTATTATTCAGAGTGATGAGGCTTCAAAATATTTTCACATTTCTTTATCCTTGTCTCCTCTTACCTTTCATTTCTAGTCTTATCAAACGGACTAATCCCTAATAGCGTTTCTGCATAAATCTAAATCCTAACCCGTACCACCAACCATAAATCATAATCCTTATTCTTCACACTGCTTTATAACCCTCATTTATCTCTAGTTAGTGGGTGGATATTCTCAAGGTCACTTTGGCACTGCCCAAAGGTCGTCCATAAATTATGGTCTCACCTTGACTTTTTTATGGAACATAAATTTACCCTGAAAATCTCGTTGTAGTGAACGAGAACACCAGTGAGGATAGCCAAATGAATTTTAATACGACGTTACAGAATATCTTAGTAAAATCTGAGAACCGTATAGTAAAGACTTCATTTGTAAAATATCTATCAACTGTCTCATACTTTGTTATTCGTTCGTTTCCAATCACTCATTGTTCTCGTTCTCTTCTCTTCTATTTTCTTAACCTTATGCCTCCAAGTATTCCACTTTCGATTGGTGATACATACTAGTTATATCTGTCGACATCAGTGGCACATACTACACTATCTTCTTTACTAGCCATGTGGATTATCAGCGTTGAGGCGTAGTTATGTATTAGACATCTGGTCTATTCGAATTAACATCAGTTGAATTATGTTAGAAGAATATTCAAACTTATGTAAACAGAATGTACCGTCGACCAAATATCGATATTTCACATACAGAATAGATATGTCTGATATAATGATTAGCAAGCATAGAGAGCATAACAGTCTTAACACCAATTTTCATAAGCTTAGAACATGATGTATATCGATTCACTTATCAATATTGGCCATAAGCAATCAACATGTGAATTAAAATAAATAAGCACCGAATGCACTTTCTTATAGTCACTCTTACCGATAATAATTACAGTGGGAATTAAACGACTATTTATAAAAATTATTTGTTGGATTGGGAGTGAGCAATATGGCTATAGCAAATTCCATATTTTGATAATTTTTGAGAAATAAGGAATTTTCAAAAAGTGTTATGATTTCGAGACAAACAAATGTAAAGTTGGACCATATTAGCTAGTAATCATTCAAAAATAAGCTTACTTTACTGTAGAAGAACGTCCATGATCACTGTGACCATTATTATCCACCAGACTAATAAGTCGACCTACATGACGCCATAAAGTTTTTTGTAAATCATTACTGGTTTCTCCAGGGTTAAGAAATACATGTAGAAAATTACAATGAAGGTCTCCTTTAGGACATTTACCTCGATGATAAAGACCTGAACAAATAAGTAAAGATAAGACTGATATTTATTACTGAATTAAGAGGATAGGTTTTGTTGTTATGATATAAACGGAGAAATGAAACTATCAAAACGTGATACTACAATTTTGTTATAAACAACACTTCACGAAGCGAATGATTAACACCCCAATATCTGATTGTATACAGATAAAAACTAGGGGAAAATGTTGGGTAGATTTCTCTCGATTGATAGTACTAGACAATACACAAACCATATATGTATGTGTTAACGCAACAGTTGATCCAAAGTTACGATCATTACAATTAGTTGCCAACATTTGCTCTTCTTACTCTGAAATGATTATGAAGCATAGAATAACTAGTAGAGCAACAACAAGCATAAACTACACGACTTTGAACTATTTTCAATTGTTAAGACCAAATATGCGGAGATCTTCAAAAAGAATTTAGTTACACAAGTATTTAATTAATAACAGTGCGAAGTCAATCAGTAGCCATAAAAATAATGTCGATGGTCTAGTACAAATAAGTAACTTATAATCAAGTTGTATGACAGAAGTTTATTTAATGCACAAAATGAAGTCAACTACTCAAATATTTACGATAAAATCAATAAAAACCTAATGAGATAAATTAATTTCTAGGATAATTACTCTCAGTGTCAAATCTGTAACACACATGTCTTCCCCCCTTGTCCTTCTTTGTGCATTATTATTATACTTAATAATCTTCAGTAGTTCATGTTACTACCATCTATTTTTGAAAGCCGGTGACGAGCTGCTAGTCACTAAAGTTAGTATAATTATATTTATCCAGTGTTTCGACTTATTTTCTCACTCGTAATTGAGTTGCTTCCCTGAAACCTGAAGAGCCACTACAACCATCATACTAATGTACAGGTGTTTATAAACAGTTGTTTACGCAAGATACTTCAGATCCGTTGGCCAGACACTATCAGCAATAACCTACTGTAGCAAAGAACAAACCAGCTTCCAGCTGAAGGGGAAATTACAAAATGATGCTGGAAGTGGATAAACCCAGCTATATGGAAATCATCAAGCTCCATCACAAGCCAAGCCGCGATTTGGAATCTTCAGGACAAAAGAGGAGATAGACTAAAGAAAATGTGGCGCCGAAAGTCGGAGGCAGACACCAAAAGAATGAATAGCACTTGGCGACAACTGGAGAGGAGAGCCAAGGATAGAGTAGGCTAGACATCCCTAATTAGAGGCCTATACCCCACGAGGAGTAACAGGCATCAGTAAGCACATATATTACACACTGAAACTATTTACACCGAATAGCCCACCTACCCTGAATATGCTTGGTTTATTTCGTTAATTCCTAATACATGTGTGTTGTTCTCTAATTAATAGTACATATCGTAATTTCGTCCTTTGGAGGACAAACCTCACTTTTGACTGTATTCCTGAATGTGCAAACGGTATATGGACACCACACATTTTGCGGTCAGTTCATTGGTTATTTTCATACAACCACCCCCTCCTTGATAAATTTAGACAGTGCAAGAACAACAAAGTCAGCAAAATAAAATGAATTCATCTTATTTCACAACTTATTACCTGAATTCCAAAGAGGCTAAATTTGCAAGGTGTAGTATGATTGTAAACAAAAGTTTAGATGCTTTTGAAAGAGAACTGAGATTTATAAAAAGTGCAGAATACAAAATACAGTATCAAAGAAAGTTAAGATAGGTTTTTACTGTCTTTAGGGTGACCCTTTCTACATTTTGCAATAAATTTCTTTAAGTATCCATTTTTCTTGAGGTTCTTTTAAATGAATGCTAATTTGTCATTTATTCTGTTGTTTGGACAAAGCACCCTATTTTCATAAAATAGCATTTTAACCAGAAGTAGTTTGCAACTTGAAGGAATAAACTCATTTTATTCTGTAAACCTTGGTGTTCTTGTGCTGCCAAGTCAAGTTGTTTTCCTTAATAGTACCAATTTCAAAAAAATCCTGTATTTTGATATCGAGAACTTCAAGTATTATTTATCTGCTTGATCATAATCTTGGAAGGAATTTTATACTTAGCATGATAATATATGAAAGAATATGGAAAAGGACACTGTTCAACCCACCACAAATAGCCTCTCTCCAACCACCGCCCAATCTAACCACAGTACACGTTAGTTGACGTCCAGCAAACCAACGACCATTGCAAGCTTCAGCAGCATCCCATGCTGCACTTGGACCCCTTGAGAATTCAACATAAACTGCACCACGGAGATGATCAGCTAAATTGCGACATGTTCGAATGACTGAAATTTTGCCCCATCTAGATTCTAATTCCATACGAACATCATGGTAGAATTCATGATAATCTGAGAGTAACTGACTTTCATCTACTTCAAGACCAGAATCTGAAATTTTATTATTTAAAAATAAATTTAATTAATCCGTAATTACAATTAATCTACATGAAATCTAAAAACTAAAATGCTATTTCTAATTAATGAATGATTAAAATCACATCTAGTTTTTGGGAGCTTAGTAATCAAAATACTTGACTTTCAATCACAATAGGTTGTAGTTTCGAACCCTTCCTCACCTAATTAGATTTCGACAGCTGAATAATGGTATTAGCATTTATACAAACAATATACCTTAAAGTTGATCACATAAGTCTGTATTCGATAAATAAGTTAAATTATCTCTATTATTTATGAATTCCGCCTAAACACTATATTTGTTAACTAAATTATTTTACAATTAAAATAAAACTATTCATTGAAAGTACCAACCACCGAAAGAGTATAATATACACGGCCAACTTACAAATTACCATTTATTTTATAAACATTCCACAGAATGCAAACCACTGACGATGCACTACAACATGCTGGATCGTTAATAGTCCTATGCATATTTAACTACTTATCATATATGGCGTAAGCCTAATATAAATTAATGTATACAAACAGCAAAATACACTCAGTATATGAAGATTGTGGGATCCTTTTGAGATCACGAATTGACCAAAGTCAAAAAACTATTGGAAATCTAGAGGTACTAGATAGCCCTATCGTCCTCGAACTCCTCAACGGTGAGCATCCATGACCCTATCATAGAGGACGAGACCGACGACCTTCAGTCTTGTATGCAAACACGTAAATCCGACTAATTTTTTAACAAAGAGAAAAATTTGCCGGCAATAAAATCACAAACCTTGATCCTCTGAACCGGTATTTTTTGTTAAATCTAAATGATAGTGTGTGAACATTTTAGGAATTTGTAAAACTAAACAAGAATTATCTATTGGTTCGTCTAAACCACCAACATCTTGATCATCAGCAATATTAAACGATTCAATAGTATCGTCATATGGACTTGGATATTGATGAAGACGAGAACAACTACAATGAATGAGTGAAGAGAGGGAAAAACAAAATATAACCACCATTGGCATTGGTTTGTAACAACTTGAATGAGTAATATAAATAAACACAAACGAATAGTAAACAATATGCTCAATATTAGAGAAAAAGAACCAATAAATGTATTGCAAGAGAGATCGATATTCTGAAGGTGATAGAAAACAAATATTTGATAACAGAGTAAATGAAATATGGCTAGCAATAGAATCCAGATTGAGAGTTTTATCCTATCTGGGATTCGACAGTTGGCTGAACATATGTTAATATTCTGAATGTTAAGAGAACACATAATTTCATTCCTTTATTATCTATCAATCATTGAAAAAAGGTGTGATGAAGACTATTAACACATTTATTTCAGCCCATCAAGTCCAATACGCACTATTTAGTCATTTTCAATAATCTACCGTGTTAACAGTAATCTGTTGAGAACGGATAAACTCTAAATTTAGTAAATGGCAGCAGCAGCATCTTTGATAACTTTTTAAAATAAAGTTCTGCAACCAAAAAGAGGCATGTGCAACTACTTTTTTTACAATGACGAGCCTCTAACATTCATTTAAAATACAATCATCCCTTTTATAAAAAGATGCCATCATACGCGTAGTCTATACGAGGTGTATGCTACATATGCCTGTCGAAAATAAGTAGTATATACCACCAATCAAAAAGAAAGGGGACAGAGAGTAATTGTTATGACAATGAATGAATGATGAAGTTTGAGACATTTGATGCAGGATTTGCAAATGAAATACTGGACGTATAGTTCTCACATTTTACCAGGAACATTTGGTTGTCCTTATCTGTGTCCTTGCTCATCACATATATATCTTCTTCCACTTTTGATAAACCAGGATAAGTTGAGTTCACGCTTTATCCAACTTGGTGTAACATTTTATGACATGTTTTGTTTTCAGTGTGACATTTTATTCATTATGATATTGGGGTTATATTTTCCAGTATAATATTGCTTCAGGTAGATATATTGGAAACAATTAGCTATAATTTCCGTTCAATATGACAGGGGTAAACTTCCGTCCATTGTGACAATTATATTCTGTATCATTCTAGGTAAACGTCGTGTTTCACAGTAATCTTGTGCCCCTAAATGCCCTGATACGGCCAAGAGTGGGAAGAGCCAGCTCTCCCTGTCGAAATGCTCTCACATGGCCACGTGCATACAACCACAACCACGCAAGTCCTACTCACTGCCTTCTCGCACCACAGATGTTGTTTACGAAATTGAGAGAACGAAAAGATAACGTCCGGCGCTTCAACCAAGTTGGTGGATACGGAGGATCCACTTAGGGGAGTTGGAAAACCCTGATTACGAACCAATGGTGTACATGGGCTCCACGATCCTAAGGAAACAAATGGCGTACGGACCAATTATTGGTCACCGACTACCATGGGACTGCATCTTCTTAAGTTGCCCCACTGCCTTGTGCATTAGACCTTTAGGTCAAAGGCTCCATGTGTGGTCCCCTAAGGAAACCACCTGTTGTGGCCTGGGCACCCAGGCAGTATTCAAACCCTCACATAAATCGAATGATTTATGTGGCGCATATGTATTTGATGCCTCCTTGTACCAATGTTTATGCGTTTAAATAAAATAAATTTTATTGATATGATGTTCATTAGCTTATCGTCAAGCGAGTAAAATCAGAATATAAATGAGTGTATTTGGCTTAGTGAAGTCATGTCTTCGGAGAGTCAATAAATCTTCATTGTACCAGTCTTTTTTATTCTTACTTTGCGTAGTGTGAATTACAGTGGTTTTCTTTTCCAAGAATAAACAGCAGAACCGCGAATATAACAGAAGTGACACGGCGATATCACCTTATGTTTCCTGAACTTGAATTCCCCTGATTTAATTACTCTGTTCTTACACCTTTGAAATAATTAACTCATATTATTTTCTATTAGCATGGGGATTTGTGGAGATTGTAGCATTTTCGCAATCGAAATCATGGGTCAATCTCAGATAGACCACCAGTGAGAACCCGGAAGAACTGGACGGCCGTTTCGCCTTAGTATGGGACTCCACAGCAGTGCACATTCGCAATCCCACACCAGAAACCCGAACACAGAACCTTCGGTTTGGCGCGCGAACGCTTAACCCTAAACCACTGAGCCTACATCCAGAAGTGTCACTGTCTAACTTTAATCAACCTATGATCTTGCCTAACCCTCCATCCTAATTCATACTACTTCATACATAAGGTAATCCATCATCACAAAATCTGGACTGGTTATCCAATAATATTAATATTCCCCTCACGCGACGGCACTTACAACCTGATTCAAGCACATTTTCTGAACTAGTCATTTGAATTTTTTTTAAAAACCAAAAAGTTTATTTGAGTGAAGTAAAAATTCTTATTTAGATATTCGTTTTCCCTAAAAAAAGATTAATAGAGAGAAGCAATACTGCTTTGCAATTAGTATAGTGATATATGGTGTCCGAGAGTTGATATTGAAACGCAATCTTCCTATGCAAGAGTCCAATCGGGTAGTCAAATGAAAGGACTGAGTGCGAAAGTTTATTGACTAACGCAATCAGTCTTTATATATAAGCATATGTAGTCCACCAGAAGTACATTTCATTCTTAGTAAATGTAAGCTATTTCATGGACTAAATAACGTACATTTAACATTCGACTGACTACTGACTGACTTAATGCATCGATTAGCATTTCATCATGGCCATATATAAATGTCTTACAAGCATAACAGAATCAGCATCAATCAAGTGATGATGTGTTCGATAACCATTATTATTAAAAAATCAAAAGTATTCATGAAAATGATGACAGTGTACTATGAATAGAAATATACCACGGACTAGAAGTCACGCATAAACAGATGTCACTCACAGAAAACCATATCGACATGCTCCTGTTTTACGAAAAAAGCTACATTTTTCCATCACTGTAGAAACAGTGGAACCATATGGCACTTGCTCAATTACTGGAAGGATAGGTACGGGTGGTGGGGGAAGATGCCAAGGTGGAAGGTCTGAAGACTGCTGTTCATGAACGTCCTAAGAAACGAAACCAATATGTCTATGAATGCGAAAAAGTCAGGGAATTAACATGATGGATAAACATCTCACACTAAGTATCATGCTTCGATTTGCAAGCACATATCACAATATTGTATGTTTTCATTCATAACGTCTAGTTTATTTCTTCGCTCCCGGTAGCTTATCAACCTCAAACTATTCGTTCACAAAGACGATATTTGCTAAGCTAATTGTTACAAAATAACTCACAAAGTACTATTGTGACTAGTACTAAACGAGAATCTGATGATAAAATAATAAAAGTTTTATTTCTGAAATTGTACCATAAATAAGTAAAGTGTATAATAGTTATATAACTGTTCATGTTGCGGATTTTCTAGAAATCTTGTTCAAACCAAACAAGACTAACTGGAAATATCGTGATGTCATGTTCAGTGTAAATTTAGGAACTAGGATCTCTTTACAGGTTATTCTAAAGACGACTACAAGAACAACATAAAAATATTTTGTTATTAACTATGACAACAAAGTAATAATATATCCGTCTGATCAATATAACGAAATATTATCAAAGGATACATAGAAAAAAGCTTTGTGTTCAACAAAATACAAAGTAGCTAATAAGTTCTATGTCGGAATCCACATACTTTATTTATCAGTGAATATTTAATGACGATAGTAACTCAATGTAACAGTTGGAGCATAGTTGAACTTTACTCCAAACCCCGGGACGTACAGCCTCCAACCAGAACCAGTCGAACCCATTTGGATTACAAATTTTATTATTCGAATTATTAATATGTTTATCCAATAAAACAAACACTTCCCTTTATTCATGACTAAGGTTGTATGTTAAGAAAAGTTTACGGTAACAAGACAATCATCAAATATATATATATATATATATATATATATATATATATATATATATATATATATATATATATATATATATATATATATATATATATATATATATATAAAAGTATACACGGAAACAACCCTTCTAGCCATTTTTATTACGGGTGCTCACTTTACAACAGTCATCTTATTCCTGCGATCAATAAAAGTGTACGTCTGCTCTCCTTATTTTAGTACTTGCATTTCAAAGTCATGAGTGTTCAGGTGTATGATTGTCACTAGTAAATCGAATCGGATCCTAACCAGAGAAAGCCTTAGAACATTAAGGTAATTGAGTGTTAAGAAAACTTGTATTAGATAATACTAACCTAAATTCACGTCCCGATTGACAATCTGTTATCGTAAAATGGTTATCACCCAGAAAATAACAGCTTTCCAAACAAGAGAGTCATATCAACCTCACAGAGTAATATTATGCAATCGTGAAGTGACAGTTGACACTAACACTAGAATTTTCAGAATACATGACTAATGACTTAATCAGTTGAAGTTTAAAAGCAGAGAAATACGATTTTATATAAAGGCAATCCACTAACTATCAATTTTGGATAAGTAATATGAACAACTTATGGATAAACGTATTTCAAGTAAAGTACACATTGTTAGCATTTTCCATGGAAAATGCAAGTTTCACTAAGTTCATATTTTAAAAAAAACACCTGATTGACTGATAAAAATAACAAAGCAATTATGATATTTCATCATCGTGAAACAATGAGAGAGGATACGTTAATATTCTTGTGAATAAAAAAGAATGATAACCATAAGAACTCCATGGAAAACCTGTGTTTTTGACTCAGGAATAAATTTCTTGGATTCCAATTGTTTGCTTTCCCACTCTGCTTTAATTTTACGCTGGAAAGAAAAAAAAACAATATACTATATAGCAAACAAATATATCGGTAAACTGATAAATTGACACAATCACATTTTTATTAAAATAATTATGATTAATGCACGCTTCGTACTGAAAGAAGTTAAATTTAACTCAAGCAGTCGTTTAGTACACATCATTAGATTTCACAGGAAATGTATGGCTAAAACCAAAGTATATTAATTAAATTATCGTTTTCGTCGAACAGCAAATAGGTTGTTAGACGCACGTCTGAGTAGCACACACTAACCAGTGCCAACTCTGACGATAAAGGATACAACCAAACTCTATTAAAAATGATCAGCTCTAATAAAAACAAACGACAGTAATTTACATTTTCTTCAATTGACTAACTATTACTACATAATGATGTTCGCCAAAATCAGATTATGGGCTCTTGTAGAAGTGGGGATTTGGGAGATTTTACATAACACACATGTATCCCTTTGTTACATGCAAGGGGATCGAGATAAACAATCGATTTATGATAATTGATAGAAAGCCGAAAACACTGTAACGATTTTGTAACTAACACAACTCATTTCAAGTCGTGATAATCCCAAATAGAAGCAATATGAAATAAATGTATCCTGAGGAGCTACTAGTGATGTGCTATATTTTACACAGAACCAGAGAACCTTTCAATACCAGCACAATCACACGAAATAAGGTCTTAATAGTAGTAAGTCAGCCATAAACAAGGTAATATCAGGTATTGTTGGAGGGCGGTTGCCAAGTTCCAAGTGCAGTGGAAGTATATTTTTCTCAAGAAACCTAAAAAGGAAACTGGGTCAGAAGTGACCACAGAGCACAGTGGGAAACTGCTTGGGGCCGGTCACACATGACTACTTTATGATTCAGTTCCGTCACTTCAAGAGGTTTTACTTTCAGAGACGGAGATCCGTTGGATAAGGTGGGGTGCAACATTTTCGAGGTTGGCCATTTCTAACCCTTTCCTTCCTTCGTGAGAAGGCAGAATCGCTGCAGATGCTGGGTGTCACACCTCTGTACAATCAGCAGCACCACTTTGCCCGTAGACCTTAAGTTTCCGTTTTTACTCTTACCTTCAACTAACCTCCCTGGTATGGAACGGCCTAAAGGGACAATCGTTTCAACCATTATAACTCGATTTGGTCATTACAATGAACAAACTTGGCCATCATGTCACGGTAGCAGCTATGGTCAGGATAATAATAAGCAGTCTATAAACTACTAAAATTATTAATTACTATAGGCTAAATCAATTTACCCAAACTTAACGGGTCGATAAATTACTTCCTGTTCCTGCCTAGAATAACAAAAAACTGTTTTTATCCACAAAACACCATAATTTCGACTATGAATCACATACGACGAAACATAATTTACTGATTATATTGGAATGATTATAGGTGGTAAAACTTTTTCCAAGGTAACACGATAATCACTCACTCAATATAAGTTTTCTTGAAAAGAAAACTAGATTTGGATCTCCTAGTCACTTACGACGTATTCAACAGATTGCTATAAAAAGTTTTATTTTCAGAATACTGACGGTAAATTGATTAACTACGTTAAAGTCCGCGGTAAAGCTTTCCATAAGAAGTGGTAAAAGCGCATAAAATCCGAGACGCCTGAACTGAAAGATTGGTCCGTTCTGAATATGACTTACAAATTTCAGTTAAACCAGTTTGATAAAAATAAGGAATTAAAACTTTTTCCAAAACAAATAGATACTTTTTAGTGAAGCTACAAGTAATTAAAAGTCCTTGACATACAGTTAAAGTTCAACTGGAGCGATAACTCGAGTGGAAAGACATAACTAAGATCGTTCATGTCCAGTTAAGTAAGAGGGTACAATTAATTTTCATTCTAAACTAATAAAACTGATTTATAACTAACACTTAATGTTAATTACAATATGGCTAACAAATGATAGATTACCCTATTGATAAAAAAAGTGAAATTCATTAACATACAGATTCATGGATATATTGTGACCTAGGCTTTCAATACTACTTGGATGTCTGAATATAATTGAGGTAGGGTGCAAATAACAATTTGCTGGTGATTTTAACTCAGTTTACTCCAGCAATAAATGAAAGGTTCAACGACTAACCAATTAACTTAAGGAAGAAATCTCACCAACCCCGATGAGCTGATGGCTAACAAAATCTCAGCATGGATACAAAATGCCTGTGGGATTTAGCCAGCTGAGACTCCCAAGTGGGATAGACGAAATTCTAACGCCATTGAAATCATGAACCGATTAATGTTAGACCACCACTAAGACCTAGAAGAACTTGAAGGCTTTTTCGTTCTAGTATGGGACTCCTCAGCAATGCGTACTCACGAACGCAGGATCTCGGATGTTGCATACGGACGCTTAACCTCTAGACTATTGAGCCGCCATCCGAACCAGTTAATGTCTTACTGTGAACAATAGTCTTCTGAGGTGGTCGTACGTACACATACTCATACTTACTTACGCCTGTTACTCCCAATGGAGCATAGGCCGCCGACCAGCATTCTCCAACCCAATCTGTCCTGGGCCTTCTTTTTTAATTCAATCCAATTCTTGTTCATTTTCCTCATGCCTATCTCCATTTACCGGCATAATGTGTTCTTTGGTCTTCCTTTTTTCCTTTGGCCTTGAGGATTCCATGTGAGGGCTTACCTTGCGACGCAGTTGGGTGCTTTCCTCAATGTGTGTCCTATCCACTTACAGCGTTTCTTCCTGATTTCTTCCTCCGCTGGGATCTGGTTTGTTCTCTCCAACAGTACGTTGTTGCTAATAGTGTCCGGCCAGCGGATCCGAAGTATTTTGCGTAGATCATTGTTAATAAACACCTGTATTATCTGGATGATTGCTTTCGTAGTTCTCCAGGTTTCTGCCCCATATGGTTGAACTGTCTTTACATTTTTATTGAAAATCCTGACCTTGGTGTTGGTTGACAGTTGCTTTGGGTTCCAGATGTTCTTCAGTTGTAAATATGCTGCTCTTGCTTTGCCGATCAGCGCCTTCACATCTGCATCAGATCCACCATGTTGATCAATGATGCTGCCCAGATATGTAAAGGTTTTTACATCTTCCAAATCTTCTCCGTCAATTGTGATTGGATTGGTGCATGCTGTGTTGTATCGGACAATCTTGCTTTTCCCTTTGTGTATATTGAGACCTACTGCTGCTGTCACACTGTTCGTCTTCTACTGCATTTGTTGTTGCGTTTGGGATAAAAGGGCCAGATCATCTGCGAAGTCTAGATCGTCCAACTGCATCTTAGATGTCCATTGTATCCCGTGCTTCCCTTCAGATGTTGACGTCTTCAAGATCCAGTCGATCACCAGGAGAAAGAGGAAGGGTGAGAGTAAGCAACCTTGTCTGATACCGGTCTTTATTTCGAACGACTTTTTCAACTGTCCTCCATGTACGATTTTGCAGTGTAATCCATCATATGAATTTTGTATGATATTGACTATCTTCTGAGGTACACCGTAGTGTCGAAGAAGTTTCCATAGTGTTGTTCTGTCCACGTTATCAAATGTCTTTTCGTAGTCAATGAAGTTGATGTAGAGTGATGAATTCCATTCAATTGATTGCTCCACAATGATCCGTAGAGTTGCGATTTGGTCTGTACACGATCTATCCTTACGGAATCCTGCCTGTTGGTCACGAAGTTGGGCGTCTACGCAGTCCTTCATCCTGTTTAACAATACTCTGTTGAAGACTTTTCCCGGTATTGAGAGAAGAGTGATGCCCCTGTAGTTATCACACTTGCTGAGATCGCCTTTCTTCGGTATATTAATCAGAAGCCCTTCTTTCCAGTCTCTTAGTACTTGTTCCTCATCCCAAATCTTATTAAAGAGAATGTGGAGTATCCTTGCAGTTGCCGCTACGTCTGCTTTCAGTGCCTCTGCTGGAATGTTATCTGGTCCTGCTGCTTTGCCACTCTTGATTTGTCTGATGGCCATGCTGATTTCTTCAATTGTTGGTGGGCCAACATTCATTGGGAGATCCGTGGGTGCTGCTTCGATGTTGGGTGGGTTCAGTGGAGCTGGTCGATTCAAGAGTTCTTTGAAGTGTTCTACCCACTTATTTTGTTGCTCTTCAATGTTGGTGATTACCTCGCTTTCCCTGCTTTTCACTGGTCGTTCTGGTTTGCGGCGATTTCCAGAGAGTTTCTTTGTCGTGTCATACAATTGTCTCATGTTTCCTTCTCTTACAGACTTTTCCGCCGTCGTTGCTAAATCTTCCACATATTTACGTTTGTCGGTTCTGATGCTCCTCTTCACTTGTTTGTTTACTTCTGTGTATTCAGCTAGTGCCTTGGCTTTTTCTGCTCTTGTTCGACTGGTATTGATTGCTGCTTTCTTGTTCCTCCTTTCTTAAATCTTATCCAGTGTATCAACAGTGATCCATTCCTTGTGATGGTGCTTCTTGTGACCCAGGACCTCATGACATGTTGAAGTGATTGCTTCTTTGATCCCCTTCCAGTTGCTCTCCACAGTAGTTCCTTCTCCATTGAGTAGATCATGAAAGGCCTGGAACTTGTTGCTGAGGACTATCTTGAATTTGTTGAGTTTGTTGGTATCCTGAAGAAAGGCCGTATTGAACTTTTGTGATATTTTCCGCCCCATTGTCCAGCGCTTCTTGAGTTTGAATTTCATCTTGGCGACCAGCAAGTGATGATCTGAGGCTATATCAGCTCCTCTCTTGGTTCTCACGTCCTCTATAGTCCTCCTGAACGTTTTGTTGATGCAAATATGGTGGATTTGGTTTTGCGTGGTGTGATCCGGTGAAGTCCATGTGGTTTTGTGTATGCGTTTATGTGGGAATATGGTGCCGCCTATGACCAGTTTATTGAAGGCACATAGGTTTCCAAATCTCTCACCATTTT